TGTTGCTAATGTTTTGCCAGGCGAGGGATGTGCTTACGACGACATCGATGTCAGCCCTTCCGCGTTCGACAAGTTGGCTGATAAAGCCAAGGGCAGAGTCAACGTGGAGTGGTCCTGGGCCTGAGCATTATCACTTGGTTCGCGTCACACAGTCATGACTCAGGGTTGAGTCGACTGTGACACATTACGGCATTTCCTATTACTCACACACTGGTGTGGCATATATATGCTTTCAAATTCTACTGATGATATACTCTTCTTCTACCTTCTGCTTGATACGTGAAACTGTTTACATTGACAGTAACTTTCTACCTTTCGACAATCTACATCACACTGTGCGTAGATATCCATGTTTCTCAACAGAAAACCAAGCAGAAGGAGTTCCTCTAAATCTACGACAAGCATACCACGCCCGAAAATAGGGAAGTCCCAGCTTGTCAACGCAGGTTCGGGACCTGAATACGGGACTGAGGGTCTCGCGCCCCAGGCTCAGGATCCCGAGCCCCAAACTCAGAATTTCGAGCCCCCGAGTCCAAATCTATCGGAGAAAAGCCTACCGAGTCTTCCCACTTTTACTTCCCAAGTTTTCACACCGTTCGCTCAGTCGGAAGATTCGGGATTCAACCAAAGCCGAGATATGGATAACGACCACCTACCAAGACCCAGATACACAGCATACGGAGGCGAATCTCATCGTGCCAGCTCGGTATATCCCCGGGATACGTTTCAGGACTCCGATGACAAAGATCGTAAAGCAGTGAGAGGAGATCCTGTGGTGGGCCGTGCCCTATGGGAACATCTCAATACTAGTCCATATCATACCAACGAGAAACTCGTCATATCTCCACCTTTTGAGCAAGCTGAACCATCAAGGGAAAAACTTAGGAAGCCCCTCAATCAAGATGGTCCATACTATACCGAGGAGAAATATGACGACCTTCCCTTCACTAGTCCAGCTCTTGAGCAAGCTGCACCACCAAGCAGAAAGCTTACGAAGTCCCCGAATCAAGATGGTCCAAAGCAAAAGCCCAAGTGGTACTGGGCGATATCTATCCTGGCAGCTCTCATCGTAATCATAGTTGCAACATTAGCCGGGCTCGGTTCCGGAGGGTATTTTAGCGCGGATAAGCAAGACAAAGCGACGACGGAAAGCGAGACGTTCAGTGCTTCGTCAACGCCGCTTCTGACGGAGTCATCAACCCCTGAGAGAGTCACGAATGCCGCTATACCGTCAGAAAACGTTCCAACGAGCGTCGTGGTTGTTACGTCTTCCATCGAAACGAGCGAGACCCCGTCCTCAACGCCTACGCCTACGCCTACGTCTACGCCTACGCCAACGTCCACTCTTGAGTCCAGCTCAGTACAATCATCGAGTTCCCTCAGCAGCCCGTCCTCCCAATCTTCTAACTTCATGCAAAGTACAGCTGTCCTAGAAGATCTTGTTGGGAGGAGCGGCTATCTAGACCAACGTGCTGATGGTTCTCTCCGCTACGATTCGCTTCTGGACCTAGACCAAGGTGAATACCTTGGTCGAAGAGAGGACCCAGAGGACTGCGAAGATGTTACTATAACAATTACTACCACATTGACAACGACGATCACGAGTACTATTCGGACATCTAGATTGGTAGCTTCCAGTGCTGGCAGCGATTCAGCTTCGCCGCAGCCGCCAGAGCCCGAACCTGCAGAGACCGGTCCGAAGTGCATAACAAATACCATCTTTCATACTGGTGGTCTGCCCGATTCTACAGCTTCCTCGTATGATACCGATATACCCAGCATGGAAGTCTCTTCTGTTGCCGCCGACTCAACGGCTAGTCCAGATACGACACCTTTACCTACCGAAACCTCAGCTACTCTATCTGCAGGTGAAGAGACTGGAGTCATTTCGACATCTTCCGTTGCGCAAGCGGGACGACTAGCAGCACCGAATCTAGGGGAAAGTCTACGATATTTCCGGCGCTTTTTGCCACTGTTCACTGGGGATGTCGAGCAAAATCGGCATTTGCTTCCTTCTCTGACGATCATACCGACTGCGACAACGAAGAATTATGCCGCGGATAACAGCTACAGTGTGAAGGTTCTGAGTATGACCAGCAGCAATGCCGCGGTGCGTCGAGAAGTCCAGCATTGGAATTTCATGGGCAAACCGAATCCCGCAGTACCTTCGAGGATCCTTGAACGCCGTGAAGTGCCCGCCCAACCACCTTCTCCGCCAGGTTTAGAGGTACTGAAAACGTACTGGAAAGCCTCTTGGGAGCTGCGACTACTATTCATGCAATTGTGCTACTCCCTCAAAACAGAAGCACCCCCGACATCTGAGGATCTCAAGATGGGCGAAACGCTTAATACGACCATATGCGATAGCTTCGAGCAGGATTTCCCAGCAATAAGCGAAGGGGCAAAATGCGACTACAAGGACTATTTCCATAGGATACTGGACAAGACTACGGCAATGTGTGCCTTGGCCAAGGAAGGCGAGAAGTATGTTCAAAGTGTGAACTTGCTTTGCAACGTCAAAAACAGCATGGAAGGGAGTATTGAACAATGCGACGGCGATGACGAAGAAATGCCTAGTCAAGGCGGTGGAGGCGGAAGTAGTTTGTTGCCAGCAACCAGCAGACCGCCAATAGTAGATTCGACTGCTGAGTCGCCGACTGACATTGGCATGACTGGATCCGAATCGTCGTCCATCTTGCTCCAGGCCAATGCTGTCACGAACGTAGATTCGATCTCGGGCTTCGCAACTCCTTCAAACATACCAATTAGTAACGCCCCTCTAACGCTGTCCCCAAGTACAGGGACTGGCATCCTTGGCACCACAACAATCATGAGCGCAACGCAAACCCCGCTGTCATCCAACACGATGCCTCAATCTCAGCCGAATTCTTGCCCAGCTGACATTCCAACAATATCTTACCCTTTCAAAGCAGCTTGGAGCACCCCAATCATAACCTCCTTCCCAGACCCACCGACTATATCCACCTGGGGTCCTGTTTCTGCACGCCTAACAGGTCATAGTCTTGGTCTCTCGGTACCAATCCCATGTGGTTACACATCGAGCTTCGTAGACGATTCCACCGTTCCCAATATCGTGGTACCAAAGACATCGCAGATAGGCGAGATCTCATTCTACAACGGAGACGATGCATACAAAAAGCCGCCAACGTGCCAGAATGGGATGATAATGCATGGTGAGGCCATAGCGGCTATTGGTTGGCAACTGTATGACTGGGGCAGAGGAGGGAGCCTAGAGCAAAAGGAGAATGCGTTGTGTGGAAGAAAGATTATTGCTTCGTGTGCAGGGAATGGGGAGGTTGGATTTGACAGGAAAGAAGTCGAACTTTGGGTTAGAGATCGGTGTGCGGCCTGTAGGCCGATGGACCTGGATGTCCTGGACGACGTGTTCAAATTTTGTGCTCATAAGGATGTTGGAAGAGCGGCTGTTACTTGGAGGTGGGCTGAAGACGGTGAAAGCGTGAGCCCAACAGCTGGCTGATGGTAATTGTCGGTTCTGTGTATCGTGGTGTTTGGTATCATTCTGTAGCTCATTATATGGTCCCATTGACTTGTAATTCGCTATGCAGTACTCCAGTGTCTTGAGATGAGGTCCGCTGGCAGAACACCGCCGTTCTTCTTCATTGCATATACCTTCAATGGCCCGCCTTTCTCATCGTAGACTAGCACGGCTGCGCGCTCCTTCGTACCTGCGACGACCTCCTTTATTTCTGCCAGCAAACTCACCATCTTGCGCAGCCTGTCTTGATTGGCTTCCTCCCATCGGGGGTACTCCTTTTCAGCATGACTGATACTCACCGAGTGCACCGTACCCTTGTCATGGTTGCCGTTCATAAAGTAGGGCGTACGGCCGAACCAAAGCTGCGGTAGTGCTTCTGTAAGACGTGCGGCCTTCTTGGCTTTGATCTCCGCGAGCTTGGACGGGTCGATGAATGTTCCCTTTTCAACGACTACGGTAGGCTTATCGGCGGGAGTCTTTCGAGGTTTAGTTTGAGTTGGTGGCAGGCCTGCAATATTAAGTTGTGCCATAGCAGCGCTCACGGTGCTAACGGGCTCATCCCTAGGCTGTTTAGACTTCGAGTCCAGGACGACACCCGGGTCATCGTAATACGCATCGACTTCAAAACGGACAACGCAGTTCAAAGGGCCGATATGGTACCGAATGACCCTGTGATGACTGCTAGAGTTCCCCATTCCATGATCAGGCATCGTGAAGGTCTTCTCGAAGTTATGTCCGTAGCCCGCGTTCGGTGCACCATGGATCATTTGTTGAGCGTTCCGTTCTTTACGGCTAATAACGAGCGTATTGCCGACCATGTGTAAGCCCATGCAGAAAATGTCCAGTTTCCTCCCAGCCGAAAAATCGAGTAGCTTGCGAAGACTGTTGCGGTTGGCGATGATGTCGACTTGATCTAGCACGACGTCGGGTCCCATCACAGCAAGGGCAGCAAAGGCTGGCTCGAAAGGATACTTGGGTACGCGAGATGCGTTCTGATCGACGAAGTGTCTCCCGGAGTCCTGAGCAAGAGTGGTCGGCAGTGGTGGAGGATTCCATCTCGGGGGTGCACCAGGAACATGGATGGATCCATCATACTGCCAGTTGTAGCTACACAAAGTCTCGAAGCCACGCGCAGACGAGACCTTAGTGGTGTCTGGCTCCAGTGTTGCTGCTTCTATCGTGCGTACGGGCAACCCGGTGGTCTCCCGGAACATCCATGACGTTTTCCAAGAAGGCGCCTGGTGTAGAAGCTGTGCCCGGGGTTGTCCTGCTTTCGCAGATTGAGGCCTCAATCCCTTTGATGGGACTGCGTCTCCTTGAGCTAATATCGAAAGCTTCCCTTTAACGGGTACCTTCACTGTTGCAACTTCTGCTGACGCCAAAGAAGTTGTTACGGGCGGAGATGCTTTCGCTCCATTTCGCCTAGCACGCTCTCTATGTGTGGAGTCAGACTTGAGTGGAAATTGGGGCAAGATGGGCCTACTCACAGTTTTGCAGGACGCGCATTTCGTGCTTTCGGCCGTATAGCATCGTCTTCTTTGGTTACTGCAGTCCCGGCCGTTGTAGGGGGATCGCCGTCATCAAATGCCTCATGGGCTTGTAGCGCATTCGATGCTACTGAACTCTCGAATTCCACTGTTGCTGAATCCTGATTCTTGTGCTGGCTGCGCTTCTGTTAGTTGTCTGTACACTCGTACAGACCAGTGTCAGCGCAATACTTACCGCCTTCTACCACGTTGGCGTTTCTTGATCGGAGCGACCTTTTGACCTGACTTCTGCTCCCCAGTGGCTACTGGGATTCCACCGCCGTCAAGAGCACCTGGTCCCGTAGCGGGAGGCTGAGCCACGGATTGCGACATGTTTAGTGGAGTTGTTGGCTTGTTAAGAGTTCATATGCCAGCGTGACAGAAGTAGCATGCGTCGAGTAGCAACCGTAAGGCAGAACCCGTGTAGCGGGGTAGCTGTTGCGCGCATCAGGATATGCTTGTACAGCCTAAGTTTGAGACTGCCAAGTCTGTGCGCCGTCAGAGTCTGCTGGATTGGCTGAGTGAAGGTGAAGAGAAGTGCGCAGCCTTGGATGCCTATGCATTGGAGAAAGCATCATCGATAATACGCAGGATGAAGCGTGTCCGATATGCCTATCATCCGACCAGTCGACCCTTTACATATGGCAGAGATGTTACTGGAGGCGATGAAGCTGGTGTCGAACAATCTGGGGGGGGGGGGGGGGGGGGTTTTGGGGGGGGGCGG